TGTTTGAGGAATTGCTAACAAATGCTATGATACTACTGGTTGGAAGGGCTACATGATTCAGAGATATCTAGCCTGTCCACATGTCGGGTCTGCTCTCCAACACACCTTGCTGTGGTGGTCCCTGTCCCGGTGCTGGAGGTTGGGCCTGCTGCTGCCAGTTGTAGTACTGGGCGTAGTAGGCCTGCCATGCTGCAGCATTGTCCTGGGCTGCCTTGTCTGGGAAGTAGACAGAAAACATTATTATACATGGTGCTCCCCTTGAACAGTAATGAACTACAAAGTACAGCTGCCAAATATGTAATTTTGTTTCAGTTGTAAAACACTAGCCCTTCATAACTAACCGTGGTATTGAAAAACATTGTACCGGTAAGTTACAGTATCAAACAACCTTTCATCATCTTTGTCTTTTGCATTCTGTTCAACATTTTGGACATGACTGCAAGCGACAATCTGCTCCGAAAGGGGTTTTCACAGGTCTCACATATAGACTGCTTATGACAAACTAGGTATAGAGACCATACTTACTGGGATCATTTGGTCCTCCTTGTCCCTGTGAGAACAAAAATGAATAAGTCAGGTTTAACACTTAAAAACAACTTTCCTTAACCTACAGCACACCGAAGTAGCCGTTTGTCTATCGATTCTATTTGTTACGGGGTTAGCAACTAGGGGATGGTTAACACGTCGAGGGTCTTAGTGTATTCAATATAGTAAGGATCAGACAAGATGGTATTTGTAGTACTGTGGCAAAGAGTACTATCAAACTCCACTCATAGGGCTGTAGACCCTTGTGGTGTTAGCGAAATTCCTGCCAGCTTTTCTGTTGCACAACATGTACACCCAATATCCATGAGCAGGAAACTGAGTTCTAGCAAAAGTGTGCAACGAAAAACCTTTAAAAAAAAGAAACTTTAAAGGTAATGCCCGTTTGTAAGCTAAGTTAGTAGATATTAGGAAATACCTAGTACGTTTTAGTACATATCCTAACATTAATCTAGTCAAACTGATACAGAAACTGTGCAAGTATTCCACAGTTCCCTACTACTAGGACCGGATATGAGGAATATAATACGCACCTGCTGCCACTGCTGCTGGTAGGCATTTCCCCAGCCCTGGGGAGCATAGGGGGGCGGTCCACCACCGGGAGGGGGAGGTTGGCTGCCAGGAAGAACAAAACTTGTTAGCTAATGTTATAGCATACAGCACACAGTCAAGTAAGTATCTTATCAAAAACAGACTTCAATGGCTTACGGTTAGATTTGTTGCATTTTGTCACAATACTGTTGTATACATTTGCAAGTGACCACCTCTACTCAAAGGCTAACTGGCCAATGTGACCACTTTGAAACAAAGAAAGACTGTCTACAGTGACCACCTGTCCAGATAGATTTTATCAATCCTGTGTGGTCTTCTTTGGCAGTTTTGACTTGTCTAGGCACTACTTATGTTCTAAGAGACCAGCAAATCTGCTTACTTTGGTGGTGGTGGTCCCTGGTTGAAACCGCCTGGTCCGCCGGGGCCGCCTGGGGGCCCGGGAGGTCCACCCTGTAAGAGGGAAGATAGTGAGTCTCTCTACCCAAGCTGTCAACACAACACACATTCGGGCTGGGTCCCACATGTAAGGTCTCACCACTAGGGGAGTTAGTCGTCTAGAAAACTAAAAACGTAAGGCAGAAAGGGTGAAACAGAATGCCTCACTTCCATAGCACTGTCAACAAGAGTACAGCCTTCTTGGAAGTAGTGTTTCATGAATATGTTTCATCCAAAACCACAGCCAGAATTGGAGGCCGTGACTTGTTTTACCCTTTCACCTCAACTAGTGCTCCACCACTGCTAGGGACACTTCTGACCTAGTCATGCACCAGTTTAACAAACCTTTAACAGATAACAGGGTGCTGGTACAAGACTGTGCTCATGCTTTTGGGGCCAAAAGTGTACCAGAAACAAGGAAACAGAAAAACATGAACAAACAGTAAAAACTGTGACAGTGGAGGAATAAATTCAGTACGAACATGCTTTCTGGGGTGGAACGGTCGGTCCCCGAAACCGAACTGCTCCTGATCAATACAAAACACACAAAGGGGGTAAGAAAAGCAAACTTAGGATCTCCTTCTGTAGAGTCAACCAAAGAAGTCTACGTTCAAGGCAGGAATTCTGTTATGAAGGCATAAAAAGTCTAATGAGGAAGCCAGTTAGTGAGAAGAAAAAAAATCAGGTGCTCTGGTTGCACTGAGAATCTTGAAAAAGTCTCTAACTTCAAGTCTAGTGCACAGCAAACGTTCACCAAAAAAAAAATTTCAGAAAGTCTAAAGGTGGTGTTAAGTTGATTGAAATTACATTCCAATATAAAAGAGTAGACTTACGTGCATGTCGTCCTGTGAGAACAAAAAGACAAGAAGTGGCAACTATGAGTCAACATTCGCCCAAGCACCCGACACATCATGCAAAACAGTGAAAAATCCCAGCAATGTGATTAAAAAACTCTCCTAGCAAGACAGGAGGAAAAGAACTGTCACCATGCTGATAGGTGCAACCTAGCCACATTCCCAGCCGACTACCCACACCTGTTAGAACACCGTGCTGTACAGAGGAAAGGATTCAACGTACCGAGATCTTCTCGTGGATGAGCTGCTTGGCGTGGTCGATCTGCTGTGGAGATCCGCGGATGGAGAACATCTTCATGCCCGGCTCACAGTGAGGGGGAGGGTTTCTCATCAGCTCCACGTGCGCGCCCGACTGCTGGTTGATGGTACGGATGCTCTCCCCGCCCTTCCCGATCACCAGTCCGCACTTGTTGTTGGGTACTGGGAACTCGTCTGTCCGCATGGGTCCTGGTCCGCCTGGCCCACGTCCCCAGTCTCCGCGGCCACGCCCGCGCCCCATCCCAGGTCCGCCCCCGGCCTGGTCCCGCTGCTGTTGGGAAGAAGCAAGTCAAACTGTCAGACAACTGTTCGTGAGCTTACGTAGGGATTGCGCTGTGCCTACGCCAAAGAACCAATCTTTGACAGCCGAACCTTCTCCCCTAGAAACTTTCCCTTGGAAAAGGCACTCTCACAGTCCAAACAATCTGATACATGTCCCAAAGGAGAAAAAAACTCTGAATGATAGGTGACGCGAAAGTTTGACTTTCAAAGGACTGTTGTGACCTCATCCAAAGGAAAGGTAAGAAAAAACCCATCAACACCCAACAATGAAGACAAAATACCAGCGGCAAGAAAGTTTCAAAACCAACAGAAACGTTTCGCACAAGGAGACAAAACAGCAGAGGGTTGACCAACCAGTCAACTGACTGGAATTTTAAGGAAAAAAAACTTGGTTCCAAACAGCACAAACATGCTAAAAAGCAAAATGCAAATGAACAGGAACAAAAAAAAAGTACCTAAAAGGCGACGTGCGCAGTAAAACATAAGCAACGGAAACAAAACTGACACAACTGTGTCCAAAATAGACTCGTACTAACATTCCATGGGTTGAACCCTCGTCCCCCACCAAATCCAAAGTCCGCCTGGTGCATTAAAATGAGAATACAGCTGTTTTAAACTCCTCAGTGTCCAGATATAAAATGGCGCATCTCTATCTAGGCTACAAGCGATGTACATTCAAGCAGGGCTTAAACAATCTTGCAAGCAGCTCAACACCCATATCAAAAGCAGTTGGCTGAAATGTTAACTTGGTGTAAAATTGTACCAAAAAAATTCAATAGAACCTCACACCAAAGCTTGTAAGATAACTGTTTTAAGCCCTGCTTATGGCAAACTCAAAACCCTGCTTGACAAAATCACGAGCGGTGAAATAAAACATTATGTGGTACAGATGAAATGTGTTATCAGATTTTTTGCTGAGGGGGAAAGCAATCTGTGCAGTTGTTAGATGAGAACTGGGCCAGCTGTGTACCTGTGCATCTTCCACCAGATTTTGGATTGTGTGGGCTGCGGCCTGGCACCTGTCGGGAGCACCCATCAACTGGCACACTCTGTTGGGGTTCTGCCCATCATCTGAAATATGGAACGTTCAAAGTTGTTTGACGTTTGCTTACAAGTGACTGCAAAACACGCACTATGATAAGAAACAAACAAACTGTACTTTTCCTCATTTTCTTTTTGGTTTTTAAAATCATATGTCTGGACAAAAAAAAGTAAAAACTAGTAAGTCATCACACAGTGCTCACAAAATCATATGTCTGGACAAAAAAAAGTAAAAACTAGTAAGTCATCACACAGTGCTCACCTGGTTTGAACTGGACTCTGACTCCGGTCTCGTTCTGGATTTTCTTGATCATCTCTCCTCCCTTCCCGATGACAATACCCACCGCAAAACGAGGCACTGGAATCTGGAAGAGATGATTCCAGGCTTAGTACAAAGGACTTAAACATTGTCAGTTACCTCTCTATGTAGTAGTTCTTTTAAATCACCATGTTAACCCCTTGCATCAATTTTTAGCAAAGGGTTTGAAAGCAATTTGCAAGTACACAAGAGGCGCACTTACGAAGTCCATTTTCAATTAATTTAACTTACAAGAACTTGATACTTACGTCCATGCCACCGCCACCACCACCCCTGGCACTGCCGTAGTCGTTTGTGTCAAAGTCCCTCCCTCCTCTTCTCATGCCCTGTGGTCCACCAAAGAACTCGCCCTCGAGCTCCTTGTCTGTGATAAGGTCCATGACCAAGTCTTTGGCTCTCTGTGTGAACAAGAAAAAGAAAAATGTGAGGCCAGAAGTAAAATAGCATAACGTATTTCTATACATACCTGTATATGACTGATGCTACCATATTATCTAGCTGAACACATCTAATTGCAGACAGTATTTTGATACAGCAAGTAACTGCTTTCTTTACGCAGTAAAAATCTTTAGTCTTTCGTATGCAATCATGCACCTTCAAGTAGATAAAAGTGCCATTGGCGACAACTAGGAACAGGTCACAGGGCAGGGAGAAACAAATCAAAACAATTTACTTGTGTTTTCTGTGGATCTCCTGTGATTCTGAGAGGTTTCTCTGGGGCGTTCATGTATGGTCCATCCTGAATCATCACCATCTTCACTCCAGCTCTTTCCTGCATTGGACAACAAGAAAAAAAAAAACAGCCATTTGAACTTATGCCAAACAAATTAGGCAACATACAAGCAATGCCAGGGTCAATACTTTTTTGGGGTAAAATATGTTTTTTGTAAAATTGTGTGTTACAGTATTTCCAGAGGTCACAATTTTGCAGAAACATGTCTAAGCTATTTTGCAGAACCAACCCTAAGGCAGCTGTCACAAAAATTCAGACTTTGCCACATGAGCCAAGTGTTAAAACTGACCTGCAGACTTCTGATGGTCTCGCCTCCCTTGCCGATCACAAGCCCCACCTTGTTCCCTGGTATCATCATTTCTGTGACGATGGAGCCGTCAGGTAACGTGGTGCCTGGCTGTTCTGTGGCCCCGCTACTCCTCCCCTTCTCAATGATTCCGTCTATCAATCGCTTGGCATGCCTGAAACAACGGCTCAGCATTAAAAATCCCATTAAAGAAAAGGACTCTGTATTCTCTTACATATCACATTACTCTATACTGTATTAATTTTCAGACCTTCAGAAGTTATACCTACTCTATTGATGGTGGTGTTCCTGTGAGTGTGCAAACCCTCTCTGGCAAGCCTCCACTGTCTGTAAGAAATAAAAACCAAAGATTTTCAATACATCTTAGACAAGGAATGAGTAAAAAAGGTATTCAGTTTCCCTATACATTGCCTTTACTACACTGCCTATACTCAACATAAACAAATGACAAAATGGAAAGCTTTCTCACCCTGTGCCATCTGGACCTTGCATCCTGACTCTGCTTGCAATCTAGTGATCTGTTCACCGCCTCTTCCGATAACTGCAGGAAACGGGTTAAAAATTAAGAAAAAGTAGTCAGTCTAATGTGCCAGCAATTGTCAAACTTGGCATAAATTAGTGCAGAACATATTCAGTGGTGTTCTATAACAGTTCATGGTTGGAACTTTGTTGGTTCACACTTTGCATAACACTTTGTTCTGCTATAAGTAATGTTAAGTTATACAAATCTTTTGTTAGACAACTTCTGGCCATGAGAAGATACTTACTTAGGCCGACCATCTTATCGGGTACTCTGTACTCTTCTGTGACAACACCTCCTGCCCTGGAAGATGAAAAGTTTCTATGTGGTAGAAATAAACACGGCAAAGATCATTCAACAACAGGGCATAATAAGGTTGGTGTGACAAAGCAAATATGTGATAAAAGTCAACACATTTGGGGAAAAAAAGCAAGTCAAAAGTATTGTTGGTAATGTTATGAAATCAAGCAAGCATTGAGATTGAGTATGCAGGATAATCCTGAAACTAAACCCAGTGGTGTGATACTAAGTCAAGAGGTCATGGCAGGAAAAGTAGTGAGAGAACTTTGTGATATCATACAAAACAGGAAACTGCAACCTTGACTGTTAACTTACCTCTGTTGGGCCAGTTGTTGGGCCAGCTGGGCCCCGATGGCTGAAGGAAAACAAATGTCTTGTCAGTTTGTGTTCTGAACATCACCCATTGGCACAAACAGAAGGCAATGTGGCAAAGTGTAGCTAGCTCCCCAGCCCATGCATTATGCAACTTATGCTTAAAGAAGTATGGCTAGTATCAGCTTTAAAGATATACGTCCAGCCTTCTTGGTGGCTAACAGTGTTATTGTGTAAGAATTAAAGGTTTTCTTATGATTGCTGCTTGCTACAAAAATGGAAATTAAGTGCAATTATGTAAGATGGGTGAATAAATACTACCACCAAGAAGACTGGATGGGTGATACCATCCCTAATAGCGTGGGACCTTCAAAGACCCTGGGCCCCTTGTCTTTCAACCACACTCATACATCCACACATTTTTTTTCTTTTTATGTGTGCTTTTGTTTCTCTCATTCACTTCCACCTTTCGTCCAATCACACCATCAGCCTTCTTGGTGGTACATGTACAACAGAACTTCAGCAACACAGAGTTTGAACGTCTGAGCAGGAAAACAAAAAAGAGATGGGAAAAGAAACGGATGCTTTGTAACAGAACTTTGTGGCTTCGCTGCGGTGGAAACTTTGTGGAACATTTGGTGGTACGGGTTTAGTTAACTACTTACGATCATTCTGTGCCGCTAGCTTCTTTGGCTCAGGCTCGCCATCTATAGGTGGGGAACAAAGTTGTACATGTAGGATCAAGAAACCTGCCTTTTCCCCACACACGCACTTGTCTTTCCACTCAGGCGTTCATCCCATCGTCTTCCACACGGCTCCTGTCAGACCTGTAATAGCTACTCCGCATGCATGCTGGTGTTAGAAACCAAAGTTTTAGTGATTTCCTAAGATTTCCTGAACCTCCAATCATCCAAACACTCACTCGGTCACTCAACATCTATCCTCCTGAACCTTCCTCTATACCTCTATTGCTGGAGCCTTTCATCCTAAACCCAAGCCCATTGTTGAGTACTTATCTATAACCCATGAGGTGTCCACATTAGACATAAACTAATACTATCACAGCATGCAAAAGAACATGGTCGGCAGAACACAAACATCAGTTATAAACCGTTCTACCTGTAACACTTTCTGACCTTTGGTAGAACGCTTTTAT